TAAATTATATTTATTATTTTATTTATATTTATTTTAAAAATATCAATATGAATAAAATTTGTTTTTAATTGTTGTTGCATACCTCTCCCTCCATGCTATTTGTAGAAATTTATTCTGCCCGTTTATAAATTTGAAAAACTTAAATTGTATTAAAATGAAAAAAAAAAATATTATAATGTAGCAATTATTATTAATGATTAAAATATACTGTAATAAATTTTACTGAGTATTTTGATTTTTGCACATGACAATAAGCACTGTTCAATTTTGTTTTAGTTTCAATTTCATAAGTATTGTGAAAACTAATTATTTTGTGCAGAAAATACTTATTTTTCATTTATGTTGTTATAGCTGTTTGTACTCGGTGTTTAAACGGCTAGAAACAAAGTGAGAAAGGTTTTGTCTTATTTATTAATTATGAAAAAACATTGTCTAAATTAATACAATAAAACTTTTAGTGGTGAACTGTATTGAATTCTTTTATGGGTTGACACTGGAAATAGAACAATCAAACCCTACCGAAATGCACTTCCTAGATATAAATATTAGAGTGGAAAGCTCGGGCATCCATACTTTGGTGTATCATAAAGCAGAGTCTGTCTTCATACATTCTGGTGGGGTTTTACGATCCAGTTTCATACAAGACTGCAGCCTTTAAGACCGTAATCAGAAGAGCCTTTACACATTCTTATAACGCCCAGGCTTGTGATACCAAACTAGCATCTAAAGAACACAGTTATCACAAAGTTATACGTAGGCTGATACAAGGTTATCAACATATATATATTCAGAACACGCACAGGAGGTGAACCAGTCAAACTGATAACTAACCCGACAACAAAGAACAGATCCCCATCATCTTTAACACATACCTAAGATCAGTATATGTCAAGATAGCCAGAAAACACCAGGTACATCTCGCTTTCAGGATGTGCCCAACTATTTTTAACATCCTATGTAATAGGTAGGACCCTCTGAACCCCAGCAGACTCCTGGAATCTATAGTGTCCCTTTAAGGGATAATAGATGCAATAGAGACCTGATATATATAGGCTCTACTAAACGGTCCACGGGCATCAGAATACAAGAACACCAGGCAGGTATTTGTCATGCAAGAACCTCCACTGCCCTCGCTACTTATTTAACAGATCCAGATATAGTAGCCAACTTTACTCTGGCCAATCTCCTCCTCACTGTACCTCCCAATGAACACCTGAAATGGTTAGTGGCTATGCACATCTTTAAATCCTTTATCACAGTCATGTGCGTAAATTTTAAAGAGGAGATATGGTTTTGTCATTGGCCTGGCAAGAGTTGATTCACAACACACTTTAGCTGCTCATAATGTACAGACAGTCCAACTCATTGCACATGTGTGACGTAGTTTTTTGCAAATTGTTTCAAACTTACGATCAAACTTTTATTTAAATGACATTCGTTAATCAAATATCTGTCTAGGAACGGTTACAAACCTGAGGCAGAGCCCGAAAGGGGTTTGAAAACTTTTTTCAATGATTCATTATCACACCGTAAATGGTTTCTGAGTGAGTAATTTTAAGTAATTTCAGTGTGGTGAGTAGTTATTTTCTTGCTAACCAAAAAAGAATGGGAGTATGTCACTAGTAATGTACAAAGTGTTCTGCACTAAACCTATTTAATGCCATTTTCTGTTCTCATGAACTATAGACCATCTCAATAGTCTGCAATATAAATATAACATATTTAAGATAAAAGCATTAAAAATTCTCTCTTGTTTCATAGTTTATATTAAATTGCTTACTTCCAATGAATGCTGCTGCATTCATAGGAAGTAAGCAATTTTGTTGTTTGTTATAAATACTTCTAGCTTTGCTGAACATACTGTACATTCACTAAATACATTTTTTGGTGGGACTGTCAAAAAATGACAGACCACATGGCAAGATTTAATTTTTTACTTTTCATTACATAATAATGATTTTTATAAAATAAAACATACACAAACTTCATTATTGAATAGAAAGCACTGCTCTACATCTTATTCAAAAGGCTTATAAACTAAGTCTTCTGTTTCAAACAGTTCCAAATAAATGAGTTATTCTATATTTGATAGTCAGAAAGGCTAGAATATTTGGTATTTAGTATTTGGCACCAGTAACATCTGAATAATTATTCAGTATTCAGCAAAATACCCATTCAATCCATCTCTGATATATGTGTGCGTGCGTGCACACACACACACACACAGAGAGAGAGAGCAAGTCTTTACCTAATGTCATCCATATGCTGTTGCAAACTGCAACATTATGTAAAACAGTGTATAAAAAACCAATTTTCAATTTTATCATAGGCTCATTGCAGGCTCATTGATATAAACAAGATATAATTCAGTTAATAATAATCTAATTAGATTATGTTTGCAGCCTGTAACATTTACTTGCCATTTTATAGAATCAATTTTACTTTTTGTAAAGAAAATCCAACAACAATAATTGTTAATGATTACAAAGAATGAGAAAAGATACAATGTACTTGTATCTTTTCTCAGCAACATTACGTAAGGATTTGTTATACAGGGTGGGCCAACAAAAATGAAACGGCAGAGTTATCGTGTTCGTCCAAGCAAATCACTCGGACAGGTCGATTTTATTCTCAAGGGGAAATATTTTTTTCCTTGCATATGCGGTCCAGCTTAAAAGGTTTTTTTATGTTTGTTAATAGTTTGTGTTACTTTTTTTCCAAAATAAGTGTTTGTTTAGTTAATAAAAAATGAATGAGTTTTTAAAATTTTTTGTTGTCTGTTGTATTATCGCAAAAACTTTATTGCAGAAGATGTCCCCCTTGAAAATAAAATCAACCTGTCCGAGCGATTTGCTTGGACGAACACGATAACTCTGCCGTTTCGTTTTCGATGGCCCACCCTGTATATCAATAAATAGCATGTGTTATTATTTATTTACGTCAAATACCAAAAATTTAATTCCTCAAAGCATTATTTCTATTTGTTGAATAATTCGTAATTCATATTTTAATTATTAAGAATTATATGATTAATTTAATGGAATAATAATTGTTTTTACAGAGCTTTATTATGATAGAGGGAATCATCATGAATTCATTTCACTTGTTAAAGATTTAGCAAGAGCAGGAGAATTAACTCAGAACACCAGTTACTCTTTTGAGTTCATGAATGTTGAAAAACCTTATGAATCTTATACTGGGGCCAATGTTAAACTCAGGTTTGTTTATTTTACTTAAAAAATAAATTAAACCTTTTAATTATATAATATATATATATATATATATATATATATATGACATAAGTATTTGATTATTGTCATTTATTATTTTTTGCAAAATTAAATGAAAGGTTCTGATGTAAAAGATGATAAGCACCATAATGAAAGTTCAGTTAAGAAATATAATTCACATTCAAACCCTTTAAATGTGAATTGTATTTCTGTTATTTATTGTCCAGATCAATATGTATCATTTAATTTTCATTTATTTTCAAAATATGGTTATTCTAAAATCTTCCAAAAAATCAATAGATACAAAATCAGTCAAGTTTTTCAAACTTTTTGTTTTGTGTGATATTTTTTATATTAGCACTAGCTGCAAGGACCTGCTTTACTGGGTTTTTATTTGTATGTAATATAATTTTTTATATATATATATATAAAAGACTGTTTTTCTAAGTAATCTAGAATCTAGCTGCAAGGACCCGCTTCACTGGGAAAAAAGTAACAATAGTGAAGATTAAGATAATTACGTTATAGCCAATCTTACATGTTTTCACAGAATGCAAGAATTAGGTCCCCATTTCCAGACTAATTAGAGAATTTTTACATGAGTCTAAAAATATGTTCGATTTCCCACAAAAAACTGCCTGTAAATCTTGCATGCCGCTTTATATTAACACTTTGTTACTCAACACTTCCATTGTTAACACTTCTACTGTTAACACTTCTATTGTTGACCCTTCCATTGTTACACATCTTCGAAGTCGACCACTTTCAACCCCATATCTCTCACACTCTTATAACTCAGAATGCAAGAATTAGGTCCCCCGTTTCCAGACTAATTAGAGAATTTTTACGTCCAGTCAAATGAACTATTTTCAATTTGATCAATTTTCTGGAATGTTTACAATCGTTCTATAATCGAACCAGTTTGAATTTAAAATGGTTCGAACATTTTAAAAATCAAAATAGAAAATCTTCGAAGTCAACCACTTTAAGCCCCATATCTTTCGCACCGTTATAGCTATCGAGACGCAACCACCATAATGCACGAGTGGAGACTTGGGGCTACTACCACATACAAACACCATTCATGTGTGATGTGTAGTTTTGGCTGAAAAGTGAAATATAGGGACACTAATTAGACAAAGAATCAGTTGCTTCATGTAAGCATTTATAATAATAATGATTTTCATAACACGTCCATTTTTATATATATACATACATACAAAAGTATGTATGTATATATATAAAACTTAAACTAGGAGAAATAACTTCAACTTCTTTAAAGTCTGCTTTATTGGTGTTAACTTTAATAACAGTTTTTTCTCAAGTACTTTTAAATATTTCAGAGAAATAGTAGATCATTAGCATTTCAAAAAAGTTAGAAATACAAGAAGTTGCAAAAAATTTGAATTTGGTACTAATTGAATTAAGAATAAAATTTGTTTATTGTCACTATTGAATTTTAAGATAAATAACAATTCCATTTTACTATCTAAAACTAAGTAACATGGTAAAATTGACACTCAGCTTCTAAATAGACTTCTGAGATTCATTTTATAGAAAGGAGGGAATTAGCAAAAACTTATCAGCTTTAAGACACAAATTTAAGTAATCCATTGATATCAATTAAAGCATGGATTGATGTATAAAGAATGCAAAACAATTTAAAGTGAAGCATAGGTATGTGCATCTTTGATAATTTCCAGAAAAATTGCAATGAGATGAATTTTTGCATCATGTAAAACATATTTCACAAATTTTAAAAATGCTCTTAATCAATTTGTAGCAAAAGGAAAAACTGTTGTCCCTAATTGAAGTCAAAATTGTGATTATCTGTCAATTTCAAATTATGTTTCCTTCAAATTGACTTTAAAACATAGTCCATGAGTTATTTTGAAGAAAACTATAATTGATCCCTGTCTTCAAATAAAATTTTTTAGTTGCATAATAAAATGATAGCTAATATACATTTTCAGATCAAAAATTTATTGTCAAAGTTTTCATTAAATTGAATCTTCTACATTAACTTACTTTTCTCTCAATATATCTGTATATTATCTAACTATCTGTTACCCGCGACTTCGCCCGCGGAGGTTTTGCAAGCAAACCCATTTATATTCAGTATTTCAACAACCATAGTAATTGTTATATAACACCTACAGCCAAGAATGATGAGAATTGCTGAGAATCAAACAAACTATTTTGAATTTGATCAATTTTCTGGAACGTTTACAATTGTTCTATAATTTAAAAAGGTTCGAACATTTGGTTAAAAAATCGAAATATATAAAAATATTTATAACGATTTTAATAAAATATAAAATTCATCTGGATACGAGTCCAAGTTTACTTGCCATGTCTAATCACCAGGAACAACTATTTCCATTGCAGAGACAACCTTTCTTTAGAGGCTATGCCTCTGCACGAATATGTAAAACAGTTTAAAATGTCCACAGGTGACAATCCCAACACAATTAAAAATATAATATTTGTTTGTAGAAATGGGCTGGCAG